TTTTAGTATTATCGGCATTTATTTTCTTTTGAGAATATGTTTTAAAATAAGTTTTCTATTGAATTCGTGATCAAATCACCATTTAAGGGCAGTTGTTTGACGTGTGGTATGTAAAAAAAAAAAAAAAAAAAAAAAAAAATTAAAAATTAAAAAATTATTAAAAAACGTATTTTATGAAGAAAAAACGTAGTACCGTAATTTGGAGGAAAAAACAGAGTAATTCCGGCAAAAACGGAATGGTTGGCAGCTCTGCAATTTGTGTTTGCTTGATTACAACATTTAAAAATCATTAATTTCTCATGCTCTATCAAATTTTGCTATATACATGTACAGTATTTCACTGATCAGTTTCCTTTAAAATATTTTTCTGCTTTTATCGACGAGTCAGAGGGATGGGGGGGGGGGCGATTGTCCGAGAGCCTCGCTCCTCCCCCCCCCCCCCCTCACAAAAAATATACATATACCGCATATAATAAAATCAAATCAAATCAAAACATTACTGAACAGGTATCAAGGTTTACATGCATGTACATGAGTAGCATGATGATGCACACTGGTGTACAAGTACATGTAAAATGTAACTCCAGAGCAATGTATAGATGATTTGAGCATACTGAGTTTTGACCCAATCTTGAACCAAACTTACACTATCCTCCACTGTCCTGCATCACTTAATACAGTATACATACCTACACGTATATATATATACATGTGTATACTTTGAAAACATGCATGCAGATTTGCAGATCTACATTTTTACAAATGCATGCAAGCTACATGTATAACAAGTATTAAAGGTAAAGACCAGTATTAGAAACGCCCAAATTTCAAAAAATGAAATGGAAGCTCTTATTACCAATTATGTGAAAGAATGTTTTGAATAATACACGATGATAAAAAATTTGTTGGGAAACCGCCTACTAATTGATATATTTGGTAAATTAGTTTATCTATTGGTGTGTGAGAGATAAAAACACACGTGTCGCGCACGTGTGTGTAGTCCCAGATACATCTTCCTGTGTACAGTGCTTGTAAATTTATGAAGACTGGGCCAAATTTCTTTTCATTTTGATGATTCCAGAACCTTGCAGTACATCTATGCTAGATGATTAACCGTTTCTGATCGATTTCACAATGTTTCTTTCACAATGCAATCGCATGACCAGAACTCAACTTCTTCTTTAAGACGAGGTGGATCTGTCAAGTTATCTACTTCAGGAACTTTACATGTAACAATGTATTGAATATAATGTAAGCTTTACATTTTTTATTTTTCCTCTTTCTACCAAATTATTAATATTGCTTCTTATGGCTACTATCAAAAAGTCACTATACAATATACATGTACAGTGTATGACCAAGCATCATGTACTAATATTATGACTGCACTGCCATGTGTAACTGAATGCACAGATGCGTGCCAAATTTCAAAGGCCGTGCCTAACAAAAAAAAATTGATTGTTTAAATTAGGTATTAAATGATGCGTTCACTATAACCGGACATAATCAGTTAAAGGTAAAGAACAGTATTGGAAACGCCCCAATTTCAAAAATGAAATGGAAGCTCTTATTACTAATCATGTGAAAGAATATGTTTTGACTAATACATGATGATAACAATTTTGCCGGGAAACCGCCTACTAATTGATATATTTGGTAAATTAAGTTATCTACATGGTCTGTGAGAGATACATGCACGTGTCGCGCACGTGTGCGTATAGTCCCATATACATCTTTCTGTGTACAGTGCTTGTAACTTTACGAAGACTGGGCCATATTTCTTATCATTTTGATGATTCCAGAACCTTGCAGCACACACCAATACTTGATCAACCTTTTCTGATCGATTCCACAACGTTTCTTTCACAATGCAATCGCATGACCATAACTGGTCTTAATCTTTAACAAAGTGGGACATTTCCCATGCTCGGTTAGTTGATTAATCACTCAAACATTTGCACTATCCGTCCAAGTACTTACCTAAAGAGGAGAGTGTAACGCCACCTACATTGTACATAAGTACATATATATATAAATTAGCAACAGAGTGAAATAGAATGTGCTTTGGACTGTATTTCATGCTGGAATGTGAGGAATTGATGGATGGATTAATAAATGTCAACGTTTGAAACATGTTTGAGCGTCGTCGTTCCAAATGAAAACTTGATAGAGAATCAGCGTCTGGTCTGAAGTTCTGAACATTGTACCGTATGCATGAGCGCATACTGATGATTGACCAACTGTCAATGTACATTGATCTCTTCAACACCAACTCATTACAATACAATGATTTTTTTACACAAGTTTTGTATAAATTTCCTTAAGTCTGAACCAGTTATAATACCAAAGTCAATACCTATTTTTTTACCAGTATGGTCAAGTAAAATGTTTGCTCTTTCATTAAAATTTAATGAGAAAATTGTAAAGCAAAGTTTTTGTTGGGGTTGCGGGGGTTTACTTGTACATGTTTCTATGCGATTTCTCTGTTTTTATGGGTTTTAAAAAATGAAAAATAAATTGTTTTTGTTTTGTTTTTGTTGAAAAATCGTAATTGGTGATATCATATTATCGTATTTCACTTTTATTATCGTACTAAATACGATTTAATCATACTGGTTGGCATCTCTGCAAGGGCGCCCAAACTCTCTGTCATAACCCCCAATAAATTTCAAGATGGCATACACAATTACTGTACACATAAGATTAGTTGGAATCCCGGCCCCCCCCCCCCTCAGTGTTATTTAGGGTACGCATATGCTTGTTCCCTCTTTTTGAAAGCACCCCCTATCTGAGGACTGCCAGCATTTCCGAACCCCCCTTTCGCGGGCTTTTCCTGCCTTGGAGACCCCCCTAAATCATGAAAAATTCTCACTCAATGTACCCCCTTCAATTCTGAACAATTTCTCAAGAGTCCAAAAAGATGAGAGAAAAAGAAAAAAAAACACCCCCTTTTTAAAGAAATATCCAGGTGAAAAGTTAATACACCCCTTTTTTTACAATTCTCGGGCCGGACTTTGTCGCACGAAAAGTACCCCTTTACCGGACATTTTGGTAACACGCATGGGGTCCGTCCGTTCTCGGAGTGGGGGGGGGGCCGGGGTTGGAATGTTAACTTTGTATAACAAGAGCTTGAATTACCTGTCAGGCCAGATGATTTTTTTTTAGAAATAAATTACAAGCGGTTCTCCTTTTTTTCTTTTGTTTTTGATATTTATCAACACGTGATCTTCTAAAACCAGCAAAAAACATGCAGTGGAATAGTGAGCAGAACAGCTCTGACAAAGTGTTATGTGTACTGTATTGCTGCAAAGTGATCTCATTTGTATAGCTACATGTATCACAAAACCAGAGAGAGAGAGAGAGAGAGAGAGAGAAAGAGAGAGAGAGAGAAAAAAAATTAAATGTTTGCCCTGCTTTCTTCTGCCAATACTGAATTATATTTTAACATGGTTGGTCATTTCCAGTAGACCTAAATTTATGTAAATGTAGAAGTACATGTACATGTACTGTTTATGTAAAAGCCATTTAAAAAAAAAAAAAAATTGTAAGTTTCATACCATTTTCATACCATTTTCATAGTGTAATACAATTTAATGCATAAAACTTGGTAATATACTGTACATGTGCCAAGTGCCACTGTTACAAATAATTGTCTCTCAATACCCCGGTAGTCAGAATGGCAATTAATTGTTGCTACATGTACATGTACGTACGACAAACATTATGGCTTGTCCTTCAATGCATAATTATAGGTAAAGGGTGAATGAAACTTATTTGTAACAAGGCACTTTATAGCAAATTACATTAATACGAAAATGGCCTATTGGGGATGCCTTTTTCCTCAACAGCTACACCTACATGTAAATGCAAGTGCCTCACATGAGCATACATGTACATGTACATCTACATTGTAGGTGTGCCGTTGAGACTAGCAGAGAGAGAGAGAGAGAGAGAGAGAGAGAGAGAGAGAGAGATAGAGAGAGAGAGAGAGAGCTGAGAAGAACATTACAGGTATATAATGTATGTCCATAGGATAATCCACTAAAAACACATACTTGCAAATTAAAACTTTCACATGTAGGAAAATAGAAATCTATTTCAGAACCTTTTTGAATCAGAGCTTTCATTCTTTTAAAAGACAGAGTTAGCAAGGAAAGATTCATACGCAATCGTACCACTAGAAGATCCATGAATTTGAGATGATCGAGGGAGTACTGATTTCAGAAGAAATGACAAAGACCCTAGCTCCAGGCAGGTTTTACTACAGTCTTCAGGATGACAGTAATAAATGATGGATCGTTCACTGAAGAAAAGATCCCCACTCATTGCCATGGTTACAGAAGACTTGTTATTCCCATGTTTATTTTGCAAACCCATTTTCAAAACATAATTTACAGAAAGACATCAATATTTAATTATCACTTGCAATCTGTTTTTTTGCTCTTATATCGTATACAGTGTACATTTGAATTTTGAAATGATTATCTGTTTCACATATTGATATTCCCGTTTTATAATGCCATTAAAAATTTAACTGCAGATTTTATTTGTCTGATTTTGTAAGTTCACATGGCAATTTACTCCCCCTCCCCCTTTCTCTTTCTCTCTCTCTCTTCTTTTTCTTTTTTAAGAACTGAATGTACACATCTTCTTCAGATACAAAAAACACATGAAACTAAATGCACATTAAAAGGACTTACAAGTATGTACATCTGATCATTTAAAGGTTTTTATCAACAGCCCTAAAGTAAAAGAGATCATAAAAACAAAACACAAATAGACAAGTACATGTGCATCTCCCCCCCCCCCCCCTCCCTCTCTCCCCCCTCCTTCTATTGTGATGACTAACAAGTATATGTAAACATGTAAATACACAAGACTGTTTGTGTACATGTAGTTTGTGTACAGAAACATATTTGACATCAAGCAAGCTCATTACCAATTCCCCGAACACCAAGACACGTACAATTTTTCTTGCATAATTTATGCTGAGGGCTTACCATTTAGAGCAGCCTGCCATGATGGTGTAAATCTTCCACGGCCACCGACACCTAGAGCCGTCTCTTTAGGATAGAATGATGGAGGTGAATGATGGAGGCTCGGAACACAACATCTACTGCATGCGCTCAGCACCTCATCCTTGTGGAGTGTTCCTGATCATGGGAGCAGAGAGCACAGTGGGCTGCCAAATAAATATATGGTATGCTCATTGTGCTACTGAGCAGAGCACAGCCTTCAGCCAATGAGTGACGAGTATTTCTTCTGTATGATGGAAGGGCTGAATCTGCAAAGAATGAAATCAAAAATTGATTAGACAGAAATTGTTGAACCATGTGATATATAAAGTATACAGGGTGTACATGTACGTGTACATTGTAATTTATTTCTCTCTCTCTCTCTCTCTCTGTCTTTCTGTATTTCCATTTCTTTGTCTGCTCTCTAATTTATTCACATAAAAATCTTCAAAAATATATTTTGTCACACCCATGTCCTCTAACAGTCACTTGGAAGTTTGAACAGACGCACTCTGCTCCCATGATCAGGAACACTCCACAAGGATCACAAGGATGAGGTGCTGAGCGCATGCAGTAGATGATGTGTTCTGAGCCTCCATCATTCACCTCTAGGTGTCGGTGGCCATGGAAGATTTACACCATCATGGCAGGCTGCTCTAAATGGGAAGCCCTCAGCATAAATTATGCAAGAAAAATTGTACGTGTCTTGGTGTTCTCTATATAATTGGACACATGTTTTTATTCAAACATCCTCCTTCTATAGCTTTTCTATGACATACATGAACTGTAGATCCATTCCCTCAACAATAAAACAAAGGGATTTATCTGATATTTATCAGTATATTAAACAAATGGCAGGCTGTTAACATGGGAATCATACAGTTGCCAATTTGTGTTTGCTTGATTACAACATTTAAAAATCATTAATTTCTCATGCTCTATCAAATTTTGCTACATACAGTATTTCAGTGATAAGTTTCCTTTAAAATATTTTTCTGCTTTTATCGACGAGTCAGAGGGATGGGGGGGGGGGGGCGATTGTCCAAAAGACTTGCTCCCCCCCCCCCCCCACTAAAAAATATACTGCACATAATAAAATAAAATCAAAACATTACTGAACATGTATCAAGGTTTACATGCATGTACATGAGCAGCATGATGATGCGCACTGGTGTACACTGTACAACTACAAGTACAATGTATACAGTAGATGATTTGAGCATACTGAGTTTTGACCCAATCTTGAACCAAACTTACACTATCCTCCACTGTCCTGCATCACTTAGTATATTACATGGATATATATACAGTATATATATATATATATATATATATTATATTAGATAGCTTAGACAGATACCGAGATGTGATTGGTCCAGAGCTCGTCACATGATATCAATTGCGAGGATCCAAATTGTTATATTTTCCTGGTTGGTTATATTTTACCGGCTGGTAAAATGAATGAATGAATGAAATAATTTTTTTTTTTTTCCCGAAAAATGCTTTTTTGTGTAGGAATTTTTTTTTTCGATTTTTTTTTTTTTTTTTTTTTCCCCCAAAATGTTTGTATAATTTTTTTTTTTTGTAAAGTTTTTTTTCTTCCTTGAACTATCTCGACAGATTATTTTTCCGTAATTTCCACCAAAAAAAAGGGGAAAAAAATATGCCCCCCCCCAAAAAAAAACAAGGCTATCTAATATAACAGTTATTGACTGGCAGGGGGTATATAACATTCTTTGGACCTGAAGGGAGTTATATTTCCCCTGCGCGCTTCGGTAAAATATAACCATTTGGGAAATATAACTCCCTTCAGCGGTCCAAATAATGTTATATTTCACCCCCTGCCAGTCAATAACTGTATAATATATATATATATATATATATATATATATATATGTGTGTATAATACTTTGAAAACATGCATGCAGATTTGCAGATCTACATTTTACAAATGCATGATGCCAGCTATAGCTACAAGTGAAGTTGAACAGAAGTTCCACCTTTGTAATAAAAAGTTTTCTGAAGAAAAAAGCAACTGGAGTGTAAAATGACCTTTGTGAAGCCTTTTAACAGTTCTGAAAAAGAAAATTGTCTGAAATTGTGGGCTCTTTTTAAATACTACTGGTCAACACCATAACTGGATTGTCTACTCAGCGAATGGATGTAACACATGTTTTGTTGGTTTTCACATGTACACTGTACATGTAGTGGCAGATCTTTGTGTATGGATGCCATACATGTACGTACTTCTGTCCGTACCCCCTAAATAAATATTGATAATACTTTTTTTGAACACCCAAAAATAAAAACCTGGCTTACCTTAATTTCTTTTATAAAATATACATAATATTATATACCGGTATACAAATAATAGTTGAAAATTGAAACTGTTGATATATACCGTAAATTCTTCAGAGTTCAGTTCTTCAATATGACTTTCTTCATTTTATTTCTTCAGATAGCCCTTCAGATATACCGGTACTTATTTTTCCCCTAGCAGAGTTTTCTTGAAGCTGTAGACAATTTTAGACACGCAAAGGCAAAACAAAATTTCCTCCCTTTATCAGAGCTCCTTTACCGAGTAAATAACCAGTCTACAAAAGTAAAAACATTGCAGTTTTCTTCTTCTTCTTTTTTCTTTGCTTGCCAGGATTTTTTTTTTAAATATTCACCAGATTCTCGCGAAGACAAAGTCTTAACCTTCAAATGTATAACGTATAACGTGTAACGTATAACGTATAACGTATAACGACGACGGGACATAAAGCGCGTCCTTGATTTTTTATTTTTCCTCTTTCTACCAAATTATTAATATTGCTTCTTATGGCTACTATCAAAAAGTCACTATACAATATACATGTACAGTGTATGACCAAGCATCATGTACATGTACATTATGACTGCACTGCCATGTGTAACTGAATGCACAGATGCGTGCAAAATTTCAAAGGCCGTGCCTAACAAAAAAAATTGATTGTTTGAATTAGGTATTAAATGATGCGTTCACTATAACCGGGACTTAATCAGTTAAAGGTAAAGACCAGTATTGGAAACGCCCCAATTTCAAAAAATGAAATGGAAGCTCTTATTAAGTTATTACATATACCCATATACATCTTTCTGTGTACAGTGCTTGTAACTTTACGAAGACTGGGCCATATTTCTTATCATTTTGATGATTCCAGAACCTTGCAGATGCTAGATGCTAGATGATCAACCTTTTCTGATCGATTCCACAACGTTTCTTTCACAATGCAATCGCATGACCATAACTGGTGTTTACCTTTAACAAAGAATGAACCCATGCTTGAGAGTTACAATCATTTTTGCGTGATATTAAAACCCAAATTGAAATGCTGTACTGGACTGAAACTAGCTCATATTTTAATGCATGTAGTCGAGCTATCCTAAAATAGATGAAATACAATTTGTTATCATAAAACTTGATCTGGATATTTTATGTACCTGAAACTTGGCTCCATAATCAAATTAAAGATCTAATGGTTTCAGTGGAAGGCTATGATATTATAAGAAAAGATAGGATAAACAAAAGAGCAGATGGTGTTTGTCTTTATATTAAAAGATCATTAAAGGGATAGTTGAGTTCTGTTTCCAGACTGCAAATGCCTGAACAAAGTGCATGGTTATAGCTCTTATTCTTATCTATGACATTTATAGTGCCCTTTTAGAACCTAAAATTGCTATGAAGGTAATTTTAGACCCCAAAATGAGTGAAATTTAGCCAATACGATCATACCAATTCAGCTCCACTTTCAAAAAAATATGGTGACCGTTAATTATTTAACTAAAAATAACAATACATGTGCCAGCTAATTGTGGGTAATATGAGCAACACGAAAATGCCAACAAAAAAGCCAACATCAGCATTGGCTGAAATACGACGTAAAAGGCGTTATTTCATTTTTTTTCTCAATGTTTTTTCAAATTTTTCAAAATATCTAATATTTGTGGTGGTACACAAGTATTAGAAATCATTATATTTCAGCCATCTCTGAACCGATTTTGAACAAATAAAGATGATTTTGTCATTTAAATATTATGTTCTTTTAAATTTGACACTCAGTTTTTCATTATCTCACAAAAAAAGTATTTTGTGTAGCGCCCTCTGCAGCAGAACTCAACTATCCCTTTAAATGTGATTGATCAGGAAGATTCTACTACTGAATATGATATTGAAATGGTTCTTATTGTACATGTATAAAAAATTGAAATGCAAGATAAGATATATTCTTGTTTGTTGCTTGTATCGCCCGCCTAACTCAGCTACTTTGACACCTTGTCTAATATGTAAGAGAGTATCATAATGGATAATAAGGATTTGATTATGCTTTGGGATTTTAATGTTGATTATAGCAGTGGAAATGATACAGCAATCCACTCTTTAGAATGTCTTTTTGCTTTGCATCAGCTTATCCACAAATCTCAACTTGTGTTGACCTGATTTTCACTACAATGCCAGAATTGCATGTTATTAGTGGCCTAACTTGAGATGCACTTAAAAGCCAAGTTTAACTAAATTATTATATCTTTATAATCCTTCCCCATAGAAAGACCAAGTGCCTTCATAATCCCCTTCCCAGGAAAGACCACCTCTGTTATGTTTAAGCCCATACAACGAAGTAGTCCATTGTTTTGGCGGCCCTCATTCATGTCTTTGTCCCTTACTAGTTTGACACAATGTAACCTACCCTATATTATTAGATCTACAGATCTTTCTGGAAGTTGAGTTTTGATCACCCTTAGATCAAGACCCTCTTTCTAGCTGGCTGTCTTCATCTTGTGGTTAACATATGTAGAAGTTCATAATGATGTGACCGAATTAATTTGGCCTCTCCAAATATCACACGCAAGTGCATTACTCATGATTAGGGCCCTACTTCTACAGCAGCCGGCCTCACTAGGAGCTTGCAGTTGTTATTTCACAAGTAATGAAGTATGACTATAAGTGAATATGGTCGATTAATAAGTCAATCTGAAGGAATATTATGAACCAGTTACATTCCCAGAAATTAAGCCAGTTGGCAGCTGCAGCACTGTCAAAACTGTAGATAGGAGCAGCTGCAACGCTCACATAATTATATTAACACACTGCAGTAGGCCGTAGAAGCGCTACCGAAGCTCTGTAGCGAGGCAACTCCACACCAGCGACTCGGGCAGCGACTCCAGCAGGCCAGGCGTTTCCTCATCAAGATCGCATCCTATTCATACACAATATCACCTAATTTAAACAGATTGGTCGTAAAATCATACATTTCCGAGCACAACGTTAGTGTACCAACAAAGAATTTGAAAATTTTGACCAGAAACTAAAAATTGTCAGAAGTCTTTCTTACCATTCAGGATTTCTCAAGAACAACAGCCAGCAACTCGCGAAGACAAAGTCTATTCTTGACCTTCAAACGTATAACGTATAACGTATAACGTATAACGTATAACGTATAACGACGACGGGACATAGAGCGCGTCCTCTTCGCACCCGTGCTTTTATGCACTCTCCAGGCCATGGACCTATACCATGGTCAGACCGGGGGTCAGACCAATGGTTTTATGTTCATGAAATATCCAGTTTATTTTATAAAAATATTCTTCATCAAGACCTTCATGGTTCATCATTGTGAGGAGGCACTGGCGTACCTATGGGGGGGGGGGCAGGGGCGCAGAGTGCCCCCCCCCCTGACGGGCTCCAGGGGAAAAAAGAAAAGGAGGAAAGAAAAGAAAAGAAAGGAAAAGGAAAGAAAAAAGGAAAAGGGAAGAAAAAAGGAAAGAAAGAGAAAAAAGGAAAGAAAGAGAAAAAAGGAAAGAAAGAGTAAAAGGAAAAAAAAGGAAAGAAAAAAGGAAGAAGAAGAGAAAAGGAAGAAAAAGGGAAAAGAAAAGGAAAGGAATAAAAATGGGGAAATTAGAAAGAAAAAAGACCATGGCCGTACGCACCAGGGGGGGGGGGGGGCAGTTGACCCCAGATATTTTGAAAACGTACAGTTTTTTTCCTGAAAATGTAGTGTAGGCCTATACCAAATACTTCAATTCTACTTTTGAAAATGCAAAAGTACCCTCATGACCAGTTCGGTCGCTCGAACTCCCTTCACTCCTTTTGCTTTTGAGATTCTTCGAAAACTTTTAACGCATCTTTCCCCTTTTCGCTTTTAAAAATCACGTCCCTGACATGGAACAATGAACCCAAGTTTTATGTACCATATTTTCCCTATAAAAGAGAAGTGATTTTTTTTTTCGCTCGCTACGCTCGCTAGCTCGTGGAATTATGTGCCTACCACTAACCTGCTACAATTTCATTAAAAAGATAAATGTAGGGGGTTGCCTGCCCGCCAAAATGGGATTGACATTGCCTTAAACACGATTGTGCCCGCCCCCTACCTGCAACAATGAAACAAATTTTATATAGCAATTCATTGAGAGAAAGATGTATTTTCGCTCGCTAGCTAAAATCACCCTAAACACAATATTGTTCCCGCGCCCTGCATGGGACAATTGAACCAAATTTAAGTGGCAATTATTAAAAAAGAAGTGATATTTTTCATGCTCGCTACACTCGTTTGCAAAAAAATGAAATTAACGTCGCTAACAAGTGAATATTCCCACCCCCAACTTGCAACAATACCAGTTTATATACCAAACGTTACTTAAAGATTTTGTTTTGCTCGCTCGCTCGCTCGCCAGAAGTGAAAATTAGCATCGCCTTTTTTGTTTGTTTGTTTCGGTCGCTTGCCCCCCCCCCCCCCCCCTGTGGAGTACCCCAGGTACGCCACTGTGAGGAGGGGTGTATCGACACTGTACGCCTTTTTTTCAAAATGGTTATTACACTGACATCTCATTTGTGATTATGTAGATGATATTGGTTACTAGCTATGCCATAATGTTTTTCTGAGAATAAAAAAAGATTTGATACGTCAAAACTATAGGACAAATATTTGTTGTTGCAAATACAAAAGATCAAACAGCGGTTTGTTTTGTTTTTATTTTGCTTCAGTATAGGCATGATTATTGTGATTGGAACTTGACGTAACTCAGTTACGTCAAGTTCCAATCACAATAATGTTACTAACGGCGTGATGAGAATGGTGAATTTTTTGCGGTGATACTAAGAATTTAGAAGCAGAGGAAGAGAGGCCCAATAATAATAATAACGGTAATTATAATAGTAATGATAATGATAATAATAATGTTAATGGCCGGAGCGGCCGCGGCCCCCGCCCCCTATTGTCGCCCCCCCCCCCCTCCCCCAACAAAAAAAGAGAAGGAAAAAAAAAGGAAGAAAAGAAGAGAACAAAAGAAAGGAGAAGAGAAACGAAAAGAGAAGAGAAAAGAAAGAAGAGAAAAGAAAGAAAGAGAGAGAGAGAGAGAGAGGAAAAAAAGAGAAAGAAAAGAGAAGCCGGGTGAGAAAGGAAGAAAGACAAGGAAATGGCACTAGCTAAGTGACAGTAACGACGAAAACGGGACAAACTTGGGGTGGGGGGGGGGGGGTATGTGCTCGTGAAATGCGCGAGCATGGATAGGGGGGGGGGGATGACTGACCATATTCTAATTTTTAGATTGTGCAAAACTGAGTCGGCCGAATTCAGCTTATTTTCAAAAAAGTTATGAGCATGCTTGTTTATATTAAGCCGTAGTGCCTAAAAAGATTAGTGTAAAAAAATACTTCTGACAAGGCAGCGCCCGGCCCCTCCAAAGGGCGGCAGTATGGTAATCAGGAATTTTTTTGAGTCATTCCCGAAGTCTTGGGAGCCTTTATTGAAGAGGGGGCAGGCCATTATTATACGTAAATGGCAGTGACGGTATAACGATGGATAAAGGAATAAGGAGAAAGGTTGCACATTTTTGTGAACTGCAAGTGTATTGGGGATGATCATCTTATCATTTTAGGTTGTGCAATCTGGATCGGAATCCAGCATTTATTAAAAATGAGTTCATGTAAAAATCAAAGATGAGCAAAATTGTAATCGAGAGATTGGGGGTCATCCCAGAAGGCTTGGGAGACGCTATTGAATAGAGGGGGCCGTCTGCATAAAATCCCGAGCCGCGGATTCGAAGTTAATAATTAATAACAGCCCCTGCGCTACACAGGTTATCACTCTTTGGTGAGAAATTTGAAAAGGGCACATTGATTTGGATGTCTTCAGAAACTATATACCCAAAATTCTAAATTAACAGTAGAGGGGCCGCTTCCCTACTCTTAATTTTGCCCTTCATTTGGCATCAGCTCATGTATTTGAACTCATGGGGCCCAATCATGAGAAAATATTTAGCGGCGACTCGTCCGACCGGCCGAAAGGGCGGGGAGGGGGGGGGGGAGGGTTAGTGAGCACTAATTTATTTTTCGCGAACAAAATATTTAGCTGCGACACAGCAAGCCGGCCGAATAAAAGTGTGTGTGGGGGGGGGGGGGTTGGGGGATTGGAGCTCTTTTTTTTTTTTTACTCAACATCCCCCCCCCCCCCTTTGAGCAAAAAAGTAAAATTACCTCTTCTTGTTTTTGTTGGCAGGGGGCCCGTTAAGGTAAAATTAACGTTACCATCTTTTTTATTTACCTTTTTGGGGGGCAGGGGAGGGGGTCCGGTCCCCCGCCCTTGAATCCGCCATTAATTGTTTGATATCGGACAAGATACGTTCAAATTCGAATTCAAACTTTATTGATTTCAATCCATACAGATAGGATCATGCTCAATTTTTGTATACATTGGATAACAAATTTCAAAGTTAAAGTAACGTGACGTGAGCCTGCCCTCTTTCTAAAACTGTGCCCGCTTGTAGTAACCGGTACGGTGCTTCTAATATGACCTTGTCAGTATTGGGCTCTTGAGTTTAATAATTAAATAACGATATGTGCGATTTTCAAATTGAACGTTCCTTAATCAGAAATATGTCGCCATATAAACGGTGTAAATTATCATTATCATTATCATCACTACCATCACCATTATCATCATCATCATCATCATCATCATCATCAACATCATCTTCCCCTCCCCTTTTAAAATTTTATTTTCTTTTCTTTCTCCCCAAGCTGATACGCATACCAGAAAATAAAATAACGACATAATCGGATATCATAACATTTACATTTTAAAAAACCGGCGAGAATTCGATCTTATTACATTTAACAAAACTAAAATGTTACCGATCGAGCTAACTTGATTAACAATCTATATCATGTGATTTCTTATCTTATATATCATATCTATATACTATATCATATCATAATTCTATACATATCATATATTCTCATAGTAATAACATATTGTTTTTTATCATAATCATACCTTGTCACATCATTACTGTATCACATCGTATCTTTTCATAAATAACATTATATTCTTGCATCACATGATTTCTTATCTTATAATAAATATTTTGTTATCATTTAGTGCAAGATTAAGTCAGGTGATATCACATGAATGCAATAACATAAAGATATCATATTTAGATCATGAACATATTATGTTATGTAATATCAATCATAAAAGCATGTCGATTATCCCCTTTATAATCATGATATTTATCATACGATTGTACAAATCCTCTGTACGGCCATGCATTATGGCTGAAGGCAATGGGCACACAGAAGATTTTTTTTTCTGTTGGGGACCGGGGGGGGGAATTTATTGAAATATTGATAATTTATAGCATTTTCTTTGGGTATTTTTTATTTGTGGGAACGGCGCCCTACCCTAGCACCCGCTGCATACAGTCATGGTTCAGTGGCAAAGCAATGGCCTCGGAACTGTGAGGCCCCAGGATCAAAACCGTGTCGCTGTGCCATATTGATATTAGTGCCCTTTTGTGGGGCATTAATCCTCATTACTGTCATTTATGACTTAAGGGTGAAGGTCCCCTATAGTTGATAAGCATAGTAGCGTACACATGGTTTAGCAGTCACGCAAAAAAAAAACTGGCAAATTATTATTCAATAACATCTGATATACTATGTATACTAATTATCTAGATCTATGAGCAATAATAAATAATTTTCAAAATAATTCCATAAATTGGGGTAAAAAAAAAATATTCCAAATTAACTATATGAGCGACAGTGTATCTAGGAAATCAATGTATTACCCTGGCGTTTGATTTCTGTTTCGTCTTCGATATTCTTTCTTACTTTCAAAATAGTCTTTCAACCTTAAATTCATGCAAAATTCAAAACCATCTTATTTCATGAAACCGCGGACGTATAAACAATTATATTCAAAGATTTGTATTTCAATTGTTTTAATCAGCATTAATATACTCTCTTAGAGTAGGTTGGATAGAAACTTTATAATGAAAAAATTTGCATCAGTATAAACAAACTTGACACTTCTGTAGCGTGGGAAAGGGTTGACCCTATTGTTCAGGGGAAAAACAAATCTCAGACCTGATCTCGTCTTCTTAACTTCCGATGTATTCTCGGCACGTGCTATCGTAAACAGACAGTAAGGTGGCAATTTAATTGTTTAGTAA